CCCTGCTCACCCTCCCTCTCCGCCCCCCAGCATCCCGTCCGTGCAGCTCTCAGACGCGGGCAGCTACCAGTGCGTCATGTGGGTGAACGGGGAGGAGGTGCTGTCCGACGCCGCCCACCTGGAGCTGGAAGGTGAGTGTCCCTGTGCCAGCACAGGGGTGGGGCATGCACAGCCCTGATCCTGCCCCGGGCACCACGCCAGGGGGCCCGGCATGGGGCTCAGGCCGGTGTCTGAATAAAGGGGAATGCAGCGACGCTGCCTGGGTCTGCAGGGAGCCTGCGCCCGTTGCTGGCGAGCGGCGCCGGTATCTTGACGGGGTGCTAACACCCAACCCCACTGCTCTGGGGACTCTGTGTAGGGCAGTGTGGGGAGAGGGCAGCTAGAGATGCCCCAGCTCCTGGGAGCCCCCCAGTACCCGTCCAAGTGGGGGCGACGCTCAGTATGGGCGGAGCCCTGGACGATGGACTAGTCTGAATGCAGCTCTGCCCTCCCCCAGGTCTGCCCTTCTTCTCCGAGGAGCCCCAGGACCTGGAGGTGGCAGCTGACACCCCCTTCAACCTGAGCTGCAGCGCCCAGGGCCCCCCCGAGCCGGTGCGGGTCATCTGGCTGCAAGACGGGGCCCCCCTCAACTCCCTGGTGGACCCCATGGCACGGGCGCCCTCCGTGCTGGCCGTGAGCGGTGAGTGCAGGGGAGGTGTCCCCTTGGGGGCAGGGCGGGGGGTTGGGGCCAGAGGGCAGAGCCCCCCCATTTGGGCTCTAGAGAGCAGAGAGTCCTTGGGGGGGGGGAGATGGGGAAGGAGGCAGAGGCGGGGGTGGAGGGAGCAGCCCACAGAGGCATGCACTGGCCTCCATCTCCATTCGGGGGGGCCCTCGCTGCCCCCTCCCCGGCCCCGCTCTCAATAGGCCGCTTGTCTCCAGCCCGCGGCCCCTTGTGTCGCCTGTGTGGAGGGTGGCATCCGTCACTGGCGACGGCTGGTTCCCCGGGGCGGGGGCGGGGGGACGGCGGCCGCTCTGTTATTGTAGGGTTGCTGCTGGGCAGAGCTGGCGGCCGCAGGGGGTTTATCGCAGAGTCAGCGGCTGGCGCTTGCTGTGTCAGCAGGACTTGTCCCCGTGCAGCGCGCGGGGCCTTTAGACAGGGTAGGAACGACCGGCATCCTTGGGAATGGGTTTGGGCCTCAGCTCTCGTGGGCTGAACCCACCTCAGCGGCTGCCCGGAGCGGAGCACACAGGGGCGGGTCCAAATCCGCGAAAGGATGGGAGGTGCCGTACCAAGGGGGGGCAGCGGGGGTGACCCGCTGTCCACTGCTGGCAATGGGCCACCTTGATTGCATTGGCCTCGTCAGCGCTACGGAGCGATTTCCCCTCCCTCGGTATTCACCCCGTCCCGTCAACTGCTGAGAATAGGCTGCTTGCACCTTCACTGAATTGCCTTGTTAGCGGCCCCCCCATACGGGCCTCTATGCTCCACTCCGGGCAGCCGCTGAAGCGGGTCCAGCCCACGAGAGCTGAGGCCCAAATACATTCGCTAGTCTCTGAGGTGCCGCAAGGATCCCCCTTGGTTTTGCTGATACAGACACGGCTCCCCTCTGAAACCTTTATACGGGGTGTCGCTCATTACAGGGGAAACCGAGGCACAGAGCACCATGGTCACATAGTCCTGCTTCCCAGTTCTCCCCACCCCCAAAACCCACTAGCCCCCACTCCCCTCCCTCAGCCAGGGAGAGAACCCAGGAGTCCTGGCTCCCAGCCCCCCCTGCTCTAACCACTAGGCAGGGTGGAGCCCAGTCTGGTTAGCTTCATGTTGAAACAAAAGACGTTTTGACCCAAAACCGGGAATTTTTCCTTGTGACCCATTTGGCCGGTTCCAGTGCCCGAGGGACCTCGGGGAGCTGGGCGATGTCGGGGGTTGCCCCATCCACACTGGTCGAGCTGCATGGGGCAGGTCTCATCTCGCCTGTGGGGGAGGGTCCCCCCCTTCGGATCAGGACCAGGGAGGGTGCCCCGTTGGCCGAGCAGTCCCAGGCTGTGACAGCGCCCGCCCCCCCCCGCCCCACGGACGTGGCCAGCCGGCTGCTGACTCAGGCTGGGGGAACGGGCAGCAGATGCCGGAGGTGACTGGGGTGTGAGTCAGGCTGGGGGGGGGGGGGAGGGACAGGGAGAGGGGCT